CATTAAAGTCAGCTACTCCATAAATAGCTCATGGTTCATACTGTTTCTATGTGTTGCCATAGTTCAAAGGGTACAGATGAAAATGTTCCTTTGCTACACAAACATAAATAACACATTCCAAATGTTGTCGTTTGTTTTTGCAAAACATGCACGAATTTACCAAACTTTTAAAAATCTTCTGTACAAGAGAAGAAATACAAAGGCAGCCAGAAATGGAAGCATTCACAAACACCAGAATAAGACCTTTCAGTTTCTTTAAAAGTAACATGTTAAACCCCTTCATTCTCAGGTAACAGATTAAGAGGCCGAGATACACATCGTCTGCGAGGGTGAGGATACTGGAGGTTGGCAGTGTCAGCATCGCAAGAGTGCTCTATCAGAGGAGGAGGAGGAAGGAGCTGGGCATGACTGGACCATCTCGATCCAGCCCGTGGGGAATCCAGAGGGGGAAAGAAATACCTGAAACAATTAAGAAAGGAACAAAACACCAAAACAAAAAAACAAAAACAAAAACAAAACAAAACAAGAAAAAGAGAAAGGTAGTAAATACAAGGAGAACCAAAGGGGAGAAAAGACATGCTGGAAAATAAAAAAAAGGCTTTAGTATATCCATGCCAAACCAATAGAACATAATAGCAGAAATCAAGGCTTGTAATTCAAAACAAGACAAATCTGCAAACTGTTTTTTAAAGAAAAATAAGACACTTTTCCACTGAAATTCATAGAAAAGAATACTGTAAATACTGTAATAGTAATCCTAGTATACATTTTTACAGAAGAACAGACTGCTTTGGAAATCAGAAGGATGTTGTAGCACAGCTATTAACAGGCTTTTATTCTCCCAGAATTCCTGCGAGTTAACAGAGCTTTTAGTAACGCTTCATTTGCAGCACAAAATATACATTAAGTATTATCCAAGTACATTTTCTGCATATGCATCTAATTCAGATTAACTTCACAGCACATCTAGAATAGACGTAAAAACATCATTGTTTTTACAATACTTTAAATTTAGTAATATACATTTACAGAGAATAACTACTTTCAATGAAGTACAGTCTTTGTATGTATTTACATATTTCCGCAAAATCCTCAGAGTAAATTTAAGATTTCTAGTGAACAAGACTCAGTTATGCCATTTCATGTATTTTTTCTACTTTTTTTATTAGAACTTACCCGTAATTCTTGTGCATTTTAGTATAACTATATT